ACTACTACTACTACTACTACTACTACTACTACTATTACTACTACTACTACTACTACTACTACTACTACTACTACTACTACTACTACTACTCTACTGTAACTACAAAAACGAACACTACAACTACGACGACGACTACGACCAAACGACTACCACTACTGAGGCTACTACTACAACAACAACTACTACGACTACGACTACGACCAAACGACTACCACTACTGAGACTACTACAACAATTACTAATACACAATGTGAAGACATCCTTGCACGCATTAGCACGCGCGAGCACACTCCCGACCCCCCCCCCTCTGTCTCTCTTATCCGCTGCTGCGGTGCTCTACAGACAGATCGAGAGCTACAATCGACATCAAATCATCGTATCCATCGGCATCTTCATCATCACCACCACAACAACCACCATCACCATCATCATCATCACCAGCATCAGCAGTAGCAGCAGCAGCATCCTCATCAAACTAATCAGGATCGTCATCATCAGCATCATCAGCAGCATCATCATCATTATCGATGGCCGTCACTATCCATATCGTCGTCGTCGTAGATATTGTCATTAGCACCGCCGTCGTCATCATCGTCGGTGTTACAGTCAGTGTCGTCATCGTCGTCAGCTATACGACAGGAGGGGCCGAAAGAGGATGGACGGAGGACAGGGGGAGGCAGGGAGGAAGAGAGCAACATGGGGCAGGACGTCGACAAGAGAGAGGCAGGGTGAGGGGAGGAGGGAAGAGCGGTCCGCCCGCCTTGGGGAAGCTATCCGGATCGGTGACGTGCCTGTCGATGAGGCCGCAGAGCCTAGCGGAGGCCCCGCAGCAGCCAGCCCAGCCTGGTGTTGCCTATTCCTCCTTTTCCTCCTCCTCCTCCTCCTCCTCCTCCTCCTCCTCCTCCTCCACTGCCTTCTCCTCTTCTTCCTCCGCATCATCCTCATCATTCCCATTTCCTTCCCCCCTTCCTCATCCCCGTCCCCCCTCCCCCTGCCCATTTGCCTCCTTCCCTCCTTCTGCTCGTAACATCCTGCTCTCCCTCCTCCTACAGACAACGCGTGCAACAGGACGCACGAGAAGGATGCAAGGGCCTTGGGAGGCCATGTCGACACCATGCAAGCGAGGCGCGGCCAACGAGAGTGGCCAAGGATGGGCTGGGGAGGCAACGATGTAAGAGTACCCTTGGGAAGGTTGCCCATCCTTACTATGCGCGTTGGGTTGACTGCAATCCCACCAGCCCTCTGTGAGTGGTCTAGGACGTTCGTTTTGTTAAATCCATTCCCTAGGGGGGCACATGCGAACCCTACCCATACCCCCCACGACTTCTGAGGGGGAGGGTGGGGTTCACTTCGCTCGGGAGCTGAAGAGCGGAGTGAACCCCACCCTCCCCCTCAGAAATCGTGGGGGGTAGGGGTAGGGTTCGCACGTGCCCCCCGAATTCCCCCCCTTCGGGGAGGGGGGTCCCCCCCCCCTGGGTCTGGAACCCTCCCCCCGCGAGGTGTCAGAGGGAACTGTTGGGCACTAGATGTTTGTCGGGCCTGCCCCCCTAGAGCGGGATCTTGGATGAAAAATAAAAAATATTCAAAACATGCTACAGAATGTAAAAGAATACTCAAAATAGTCCCCAGGCCATTTGTTGACTATTTTTGAATATTCCCCCTGTAGAGGGACAGGCCCGACTTAACACTAGATGGCCCCAATAGGGCGCCAGAGAGCCAAAGATGCCCTCCAAGATCGCACAACATACCCAAAGATGGTTCCAAATAGCTTCAAACATGCCTGCAGGAGCCCACAAGACCGCCCCAGGACGGCCTCGAATGCTCTTCGAGCCTCCCAAGGAGGCCCCCAGGAGGCCAAAATCCTTCGAGGCCCGTGTGTTCTATGTTCCGCTTCCGATGGGCTCTTCAGGCCTCCAGGTGGCTCATAGACGGCACAAAACGACCCCAACAGGGGGCCCAGGATGGCCCCGAGACGGCCCCAACAGCGCCACAAGAGCGCGCCAAGAGGACCCCAAGAGGCCAATGTTCGGGCCCCGACGGGGGACCCTAACCTACGCCGCTGTCTGTTTCGCTCGACGTCCTCCAAGATGGCTCCAAAAAGCCCCCCGCGGGGCGTCCAACCCAGAGGGCCCAAAGGGAGCCGCAAGAGCGCCCCAAAAGAGAGCCCCAGGAGAGCCACAAGAGGGCCCAAGATGCCCCCGAGATGGCCCAAAGAGGGCCCCGCGATGGCCCAAAGAGGGCCCCCAGGAGGCCTCCAAGACGCTCCCAGAGCGACGCACGCACGGCGAGCAAGGACAGGCAACCACTCCACCAGGGCGCCCACGGGCACGCACGACGCAGCACAGGCACCGCAGGCAAAGACGGGCAACCGCTCAATCAGGACAACCACGAGGAGTGATCAGGGCAACTCGCCTGATGGCTGCTTTGGATGGGCTGGTGTGGACAGGTTTTCAGTCGCAGCTGCAGGCCGACCAGCCGACAGCGTCAGTAGAGTGAACACGGGCCGCGAGCACCCTAATTGCCGGCGCGCGCGCCGAGCAAGCAAACTAAACCGACCGCCGAGGGAAACTGAGCAGGGGCTGAGCTGCGCCGAGGGGTGGAAGCTGCGAGCTGCGGAGGCGGCAACTGGTGTGGATAGGCGACGCGTCTAAAACATCCCCCTCATCATCAATCGCCGCCATCGTCATCATCATAGTCATCGCTGTCGTCATCACTACAACCATCAGAAACATCGTCCTCATCACCGTGGCCATCCGAATCATACAAATCACGAGCACCAACCACACCATAATGAACAACATCATCATCATCATCATCATCATCATCATCATCATCATCATCATCATCATCATCATCATCAGCATCAGCAGCGTCATCATCATCGGCAGCATCATCATCAGCATCATTAGAATCATCATCATCGTCATCATCAACAATATGACAGTCAGCATAATCACCATCATCAACAACAGTATCATCATCAGCATCACCACATCATCATCAGCAGCATCATCATAATCATCATCCTCATAATCAGAATCATCAGCATCATCACCATCATCATAGGCACCATCCTCAGCAGGATTATCATCATCAGCAGCAGCATCATCAGCACCATCGCTATCAGCATCAACATCACCATCATCGACATCATCATCACCTTCGTCACAACCGACAACCGACAACCTTCGTCATCATCATCATCATCATTACTATAAGTGGCACCATTATCAGCATCCGAATTATCATCGTCATCATCGTCATCAGCATTACAATCACCATCGCCATGACCATCACCAGCACGATAACCAGCACGATCATCGGCATCATCATCACATTCACCATCACCAGCAACAGCATCAACAGCATCACAATCAAATCATCACCGTCATCATCTACAGCATCATCATAATCATCCTCATGATCATCAGCACCAGCACCATCGTCATCATCGTTATCGTAATCGTCATCTTCAGCATCATCAGTGTCACCATCTGCATCATCAGCATCATCATCAGCATCATCATTATCATCATCAGCATCGTCATCACCACCATCGTAATCATCACCATTAACGTCAGCGGCATAAGAATCATCATCCCCAACTTCATCGACATCATCATCATCGTCATCATCATAAACAACATCATCATCGTCATCATCAGCATTACCATCATCGTAGCATCATTGTATCACCATCACCATCATCATCATCAGCATCAGCATCGTCATCATCATCGTCATCATCAGCATCATCATCAGTATCATCATCTGCATCATCTGCATCATCTTCACTATCAGCATCATCATCACCATCACCATCGTAATCATCACCAGCTGCATCATCTTCAGCATTGCCATCCTCACCATTATCATCATGTTCAGCATCATCATCGCCATCATCATGATCGTCATATTCATCGACATCATCATCAGAATCATCATTACCACCATCGTCAGCATCATCATCTTCATCATAACCATTATCACTATCATCTTCTTCAGCAGTAGCATCGTAATCGTGATCATCATCAGCAGCAGCATCATCATTGTCGGCATCAGCATCATCATCATCACCACAATCGTCATAATCATCCTCTTCATCAGATCCATCACCTATCCATTATCACAATCAGCATCAGCACCATCATCATCATCATCATCATCATCATCATCATCATCATCATCATCATCATCATCATCATTATCAGCAGTATCATCATCTGTTCCCCCTTCGTCATCAACATCATAATCATCAACAACGCAATCATCGTCAGCATCATCACCATCACCGTCACCATCATCTTTATCATCATCATCATCATCATCAGCAGCATCATCATCATCCGCATCCCTGTCGTCAACTTTCTCATCCCTACTAGCTTCATCCGACTTGTCATATGTCACCAGTAGCGTCGCGATGATCCAAATCCAGACCTCGAACATCCACGAAAACATCACGGTGACCTAGGCTGTTCCACGTTATCGGCCCAGGGGGAAGAGGGGGGAGGCGTTTCGGCCCCCGCGGGCATCAAGAAAGCACTTTGAACGAAAAAGTTGACCCATTGGAAAGTGGTCAAGATTACTTGTTTTCACTCAGGAGGAAGAGGCGAGCAGGAGCCAGCGCAACCAGCATCAGATGGAAGCGCGCAAACATCAGAGCGGGATATGTGGCCGATTCTGGAAACCCTGAATCCAAAAACTGTGTATCTCTTGGGTGCGCATCTCTTACCTCCGCTGGCTTGCCCCCGGCCTTCCGCCGGCTTCCGCCAGCGGAGTCGCCCACGTTTTACTTCCGCCGCCTTCCGCCGCCCTTTCGCAGCCTGCCGCCGAGGAAGGGACGACAACTCCTCCTCCCCCTCCTCCCTCCTCCCTCCTCATCCTCCTCCTCCCTCCTCCTCCTCCTCCTCCTCCTCCTCATCCTCCTCCTCCTCCTCCTCCTCCTCCTCCTCCTCATCCTCCTCCTCCTCCGTAATCATTGTGCCTCACTCAAGCCGCACAGCAGCGTGCGACAGCCCCATCGCTCGAGCCGGCAAGGTGATGCTTCACAACCGGTGCAACGGGAGGCTTTCGTTGTGTTGTTTGTGCCCTCTTGAGGATGATGGCTACGGGAGACCTGCGGGGCCGGTGGCCCGAGCGTGAGTCCGTGAAGGGGAATCCAAAAAAGCCCTGGGCGAGGAGATCTGCCAGCAAGTTGGCTCGGCGGCTGCGACGCGAGCGAGCTCAGCAGGAGGACGCTCATCTAGTGTCCAGTGCGGCCCACGTGGCAGGCCACAATCTCGACCTCGACAGCGACCTCCTCCGGGACATGAGTGCGCGTCTGGGGGCCTGCGGGAAGGCGCTGCTCTTGCACCGCCGCCTCGATGAGCGTTTGGGGCACCACAGGCACGGGCTTTTGGGGATGCCTCGAGGGAGCTCGCGAGCCTCGCGAACGGGCCTAACTGAAGGGGCCCCAGGACACACAAACAAATACACACAAATAAACAGATTCCCCACACTTTCCCATCTTTTCTGGGCTTCTGTCTTCCCCCCCACTTCCCATATTTTCCCATGGTTTCTGAGGAATCGAGGATTCATTGTGTCTGTGTGTTTTTTTCCCTCCTGACCAACGCGGAGCTGCTGGAGGGCGTGGCCGTCAAGGCGGCGCGGGCGACAGGTCCCCTCACGTGCCGTGGGGCGAAGTCGCGGAGCCGAGCTTCAGCCTGGGCACTCCCGCGCGCATGCGCGCGGAGGCGGCCGACTTCGTCCGAGGTGCGGGTCGGGCGAAAGGAGGGGATAGCAAAGGGGGGGCTTGAGAATCCGCTCACGCAGC